GATTTAACTTTCCTTTTGATATATATATATATATATATATATATATATAACACATAGCTTTCATCTGACTGCTAAAAATGTCACGTCAACAAATAATATCCATTTCAAAAATAATTTTATGTTAAATTTGTTTACATGAATTCGACACAAATCCAATTGAATAAACTCGGCCTGCTTATTAGCCTATTGATGAATAAACAATTATTTCTCCTTTTCTATACAGCCAGTCAGTTAACAACAACATAGAACTTCGCATGTAAGTACATCATTTCAGGTTGTCATACAGCACTAGCACAGTAGTAGAAGTAGTAAAATTTTGAGCAGTAATCGGAGAGATTAGGGTATGAGGATACTTTTTTCAAGAAGTAAAATCTAGTGAAAGAAACTTAAAAGAAGAAAATGATGATGAGGAGGAATTCAGAAGGTTAGGATTTGAGAGAACACAAACAGTGGATGCACCTGCGCCATTGCAAATGGTTACGAGCCATGTCATTCACGGTCTTTAACCATTAACTACTACTATCTCATGGGCCCCAACCAGGTAATCGACACCTGCCGGCGCACGTCCTAAGCATCTGAACTGATGAAGTTTCACTTCTCCATCCATTGATTTGCAATCCTTACCTAGTACCTTTTTCCCAACAACAGCATTGCTTACTCGGTTGTTCCATGATGCACGAGAAATGATTTGGAGACACCTATAATCGAGAACTAGCAGCCTACCAATATCTTCTATTCTGACCGGCCATGTTTCACATCCACAGAATAGGACGGAGCAAACTACTGTAAATTAGACTCGTCCTTCGGTTATCAGACAGATATCTAGCTTACGCCGTAAGTGACGCAATCGAGCCTTCTGCATCCATGCTAAGATTTCGTCAGTCAGCAGACCATCAACACTGATGAGACTTTCAAAACAAATTAAGCGATTAACATGCTGAAATACTCCATTCCCCATCACTAGTTTAGGTACTGGTACAAGCCAATCCTCAGGCAACATTACTCATTTCAATGGGGGAGAATCTCATCCCAGACACTGAGGAAATGGACTCTAGGTTTTTAAACCTTTAAATCAATGCAAAATTCCTATTTTATTGTGTTAGTATCTTGTAGAACAAAACAAGAATAGTTTGAAAACCATCTGGTCTAGAAGTTTTAAACATATACTACTCTTTTACAAGTTTAATGTATGGTGAATGTCTCAAATAGTTAGGTTTTTTTTTCAAACAATCACCTTATTATTAGGACACATCTGTTAGTTTCTATTTATTGAAAATGATAATATACAATAGAACTGCTGTTTTGTCTAATGTGTAGGTAATATTTGTCTTCAACTATCTATTAATAATCACTTTACAATTGACCCGATTTGTGATGAATTTTAGCTGAGGTCATATATATATATATATATATATATATATATATTATTTGATGACTCAGCAGACCAAATGTAATTTAATGTTTATTGCTACTAAACTATTATCAAATATTTATTGACATTAATAGTAGACGTAATTGTTTTATGCCTTTAGTTTAAAAAAATATTTCAAACAGTCTCACAGAATTGCTTACTTCACAGGAATTGTACCGAAATAAAATGACCTTGTTAAAAGTCGTCACACACATATAAACAGTTTAGTATTACATTGAATAATATTGTTTAAAAACTCATGATTAAAGTATGTTTGTTGATAAGATTCAAATGAAAATTGAAACAACTGACAGAATTGTATAATAAGGAACAAAGGACAACGTTACTCATTGTAATTTAGAGTAACATATTTGTTTGTATTGAGAATCTCGGCCTAAAGTGTAAGTAGGGTAGTAATACAAATTTGGAGTATCGAACTGATTAGTTTTATCTGTTCGTGCTAAAGTTCTGTTTTTCAAAGCTCATTAATCCATTTATTGGCAACCGAATCTCGCCGACTGTTATCTACATATATGATGGTTGATTCAGGAAGGTGGGGAGAACAACATACAAAAGTAATAATAATAGTATTCATTATTGTTATTGATTTTTAGGTATTGTAACAGCTAACTAGTAAAACAACTGTTATTGTGTGCACGTATGACTGAGTCTTGCAATTGCTGTGCATACATTTGTATTCTGTGTGACTGATCATTTATTTCTGGTTTTTGCAGTGTGTAGTAGTGTTGTGCAAACTGAATTCTATAATTTAAATTCAGTTCATCAATATACTTTGAGCGACAATACTCATCACGAACAACGAAAGATTATAGAATACAATCAGTGGTAGTCAGTGGAAAAGAAACCAATTAATTTGATGATTTTCATGTTATAGATCCATTGTATCATTAAGTTGTTAATTGTGTCAATCACAAAAGTTTTGATGATGAATAAAATTATTTCCGTGACAACGACCCTCTTGTTTTACAAGCCTAAGTTGTCGACAAACAAGTTTTGGGGGTGCTCACTAGTGACTAGCTTCGTGAGGAAATTCTCGGAGTTCTAGCTGAAAAGACGTGACTAATGGAGTTCAACCATGTCGGGTGAGGTGAGGTCGAAAATCCATAGATCAATCAGAGTTAGACATTAACACCGTTGGATGCCGGCCCAGTGGTCCGATGGTTTGGCGTTCGCGCGCAATACCGAGAGTCACGGGTTCGAATCCTGCGAGAGGCAGCAGTCATGTATGCGTACTGCTGATGAGTCCCATACCAAGACGAAACGGCCGTCCAGTGCTTCCAGGTTTCTACTGGTGATTTAACAATGATCGTTTTATTATTTCAATGAAAACCAGAAATTATTCGGTTTCTGAGGATTGAGCAAAAACAAACCAATGACTTTACTCACTGCTAATCTGAATCTCGTGTTTGAGTTTTTTTCACAATGTTTAGAGACCACGGATAAGTTGGACAAATTTCAAAAAAGTCAGTGGACATCACTCTGAAAAAATCGCTCTTCAGCAAATTTATTCATTATTTTTGTTTAGAAATTCAACACTGAAAACTTCAGTTTGAGTATAGATCAGATATTTTTTGAAAAAATGTAAAAATCATGACATGGGTAATTATTTCAAACAATTTGTCCTTTTTATAAATTTTGATAGGACAGTGAGAAGACGTAATTGATCTGAAAAATGTGATGTATTTGCGCTATACATTTCGAACAATCTGGTCATACGCATGCTTGTCAAGACATTATATATGAAGATTAATAAAAGGTCAATTAAATAAAAGTTCAAATAGACGTAAGGTGATAATTTTAAATGAAGGAGAGAGAAAATACAGAAAAGTAATACAGAAAGGTTAAGAAAGGGTAGGAAATTGTAACATCACCCTTGGCTATATGCGGATGATATTACACTAGCACGAAATTTAGATTAACGAAGAAATTCGTTAGTCAAAAGATTTAATCCAATCCATGTCAGATTCGTTTTACGAACATATATGGAGAAATGTGTTGGGGACGTTAGATCCCCAAAACTAGCTTGATCAATGCCTCATTTTGGATTTCATGTTCATGATCAGTTGACCATAAGATTTCATTTCCCACCAGGATAATCCTCGGCTGTGATTAGCTGCTTTGTATTTCAGTATGCTATTTTTGTGACTGTCTCAAGGATGTTTCTATGATGTATAAATAAACGAGAGTTGTGTGCTTGATTGTATTGTGCTTGCTGAGTGTTTGTAGAATATACTTTCTACGCTACATCAAGACTTTACATTAGTCAGCAGATCAGGGTAGCCTACCTGGTTGCTGTTTCATTGTCTCGTTCGCGTTTATCGACTAAGGTGAACCCGTAATAGCTTCAAACGTACCTAGTATAGAACCTAACAAAATGGTTTTGCATAATTAGAAAAAAAACAATACATGTTTATTTGAACTACAAACGACTATTTCATTAAGATGAATCTATATTTTGAATTTTTTGTAAATTGAAGTTTTTCTTTTCATCATATATATGAAGATGCCTAATATCCTTGCTGTGGACTGGTGTTATTCATTGTTTTATGTAAAAATTATCACATTAACTTAATGATAGTTGAACTAAATTTATAGATTTTTTGTAATACATGCTAAAGAGACATTTTTGTAGGGAATCTTTACCCATAAATTGACTAATCATATTTGTCCTTATCATGATTTTCTGTTCTTTCGATAGAAAATATCCGAATGAAGCGTAGCGTTTATAAATTATCTAGATTACGAAGTTAAGCGCTTATCACTGAAGCTCATTTTTTTTAAAAAAAGGAATCGAAATGATCTTGAAGGGGATCAAACCAATGATTTTCCTACCAACTGATGATTTTTATGCCTTTGAACAACTAAAACCAGAATCCAGCATTCTATGTTTTTGACCATAGTTAACAAGTGATTTCATGCCATTTTCATTCACTATTTATCAATAAGTAAGAATTTCATTTGGGACTTCTCTACCTTTACAGTTTATCGTCTCCTTAAAGAACCATTGGAAGCTGTCAATGAAGAAGGTATAGCAATCAATGAGGATACAAGCGGTCAGATAGTTTTCAGTCAAAAACTATTTACATCTAACTAGAGTCAGTTAGAAATCGCTTTCCATTTCAAGGTCTGGTAATTTTATACTACCTAATAAATTCATGAATAAGTTTTATGTACTCAAAATCATGCATCACATCAATGTACCTCAAACTCTTGTTAAAAGGTCAGCTATTATTTATACACCTATATTTTTTGTAGAAAACAACTGTATCGTGAATTTCTGATTGGTTTATTTTGATTCTATTCTAGTTGGCTGATTTTATCATACATGTGTCTTTTAAGGAAATTCCTTTTTCTTTTTGACGACATTAATGGTTAATTGAATTGTTGATCTTATGTGTTTGTGTGTGTGTGTGCATAAGGAAAAGCTATGGTTATGATAAATGTACATTTTCTTAAGGCGAAAATTCAATTTGATAATTGATAAAAGTAGTTTGTGTTTTCATTTCATGAATATTAAAATGACAATGAATTAATTTCTTGGGATATTGAACATTGATGATTTGTTTAAAAAGAGACCAGTATCTATTGTTATTGTCGTATTCTATTTTATTGTATCGTATTCATGAAGAAAAATAGCGACAATCATGTACAGTTTGACATCATATTCATATGTTGCCTTTCTATTTGTATTATTATTAATTGTGGGAGAGTTTAATAAACAAAGTGTTTATGGTAAGTTGTTTGAAATTTTCTAATAATTCAATTACATTTTTAATTATATACACACATATACATAAATATATGTTTGGATAAGATTTATAAAGAGAATATTTATTTATATTGAAAAGAATGCATGTGTGGCGAATTCAAAGATTTTGTAATTACTTACTTACTTACTTACGCCTGTTACCGCTAATGGAGAACAGACTACCGACCAGCAATCCTCCACTTGACTCTGTCCCAGACTTTCCTTCCCAGTTCTGTCCAAATGCTGTTTATGCCTTTTGTATCTGCTTCCAATTTTTGACGTAATGTGTTTTTCTGTCTTCCTCTTTTCCTCTATCCTTGAGGATTCTATTTTAGGGTTTATCTTGTGGTTCAGTTAGGTGTTTTTTGCAATCTTTGTACCATCCACTCCCAAATCTTCTTTCTAACTCCTTCCTCAACTGGAATCTGGTTTGTTCTGTCACACAGTAGGTTGTTACTGATAGTGTCTGGTCAACGGAATCTTATTTAGAAGAATATTAATAAACACCTGCATGTTGTGAATGATAGCTTTTGTGGTCCTCCATGTTTCTGCTCCATACAATAGAACAGCTTAGACATTCGTATTAAAAATTCTGACTCAGTTTGTAATTATATGTGGTCAAAATTAAGCAATTAAAACATGATGATTTTTAAGTTCCTCAAATATTAAACATCTGAAAAACTTAACAATTACTGTTAAATTATCGTATACATTTTTATACATTCAAAAATGTAAGAATTTACCGTAACAAAAAATTTATCGGAACATGCTTGTTTGAATTGTAATTTTTTAAAGATGAAACAGTGTAGCTTAAAATTTTATTTCTTAAACAGTGATGTTTAATCTGTGTTTCTTTTGGAAAGAGAAAGCTGGCAATTCAAACTGAATACTACCCGCCCCTCTCTATTGTACAAGTTATTTAAAGCAATTTTTTAAAAATTTTAACCTTAGAAACAATTATTAAGCATTTACCTTTAAAAAACTTAGTTTTACCTCAGGCTATATTATCCAGTTGATATGAAAATATTGAATGTTTATAATTGAGTTTTTAAAAAAATACAGACAATTAAAATTTGTTTCAATTGAAAAGGAAACTAAATTTAAATTTAAATTATTTATTAAACAAAAAAAACTGAAACTATACGACCACCCAATATATTTTAAATTGTCTATCATTTTTTATCAATAAATATTATTTTAATCTAAATTATTTAATAATGTGTTTTTGATGCGTTAAATGTTCAATTCAATGCTATAAATCAATTAAATTCTTCTTCTCAGTTAAAATCCATAAACATAGACATACATGATTGAATATAAAAAGCACGTTAAAAACTAACTGAAAAACCAATCACATATAGATTGGTTATGGTCTATTGGTTAGGAGAAAAATCAGGTGATCGTCATCATTGAAAGCTGAGAACCTTTATATAAACGTTTCTTGATACTTCAGTAGCTGTCAGAAGAAAAAATCCATCATTTTCATGTTAATTTCTATTCTTAACTCCTTCCAGTTTATAATATATTATGATACGCATTTAATGATTCTTCCTTTCACTACTTGCTTTATTCCATGTAAATATCAGAGTTACTCGCTAGGACATCAAGAACAACTAACTCACTGATACAGCTCAGTTTTTACAGATGCTAAATATGTTTTAGATTACACTGAATTAGAATAAACAGTGGTCCGGTGGTTTGGCTTTCGCGCACAATACCGAAAGTCCCGGGTTCGAATCCTGCGAGGTGCAGCAGTCGTGGATGCGCACTGCTGATGAGTTGCATACCAGAACGAAAAGGCCGTCTTTGGGTGCTTCCAGGTTTCTAATCGTGGTCTAACAATGATTGATTGATTGATGATTTCAAATGTGTAAAAAAAACACAAATATCCTAAACTTTAACTGAAAATATTTCTAAATTGTTTTAGGGATAAACTCGTATAAACTATGTAAGAAAGTTCACATGGAACTTCTCAAGTTATATTGGTGAATACTTTCACATGTATCTATTTTGAAATCTATGGGATACATTCTAGGTGGAATGATTTTATTTCATTGGAAAATTTATTTATGAAAAAAAAGATAATTCTTGATTTAGATTTTTTTTCATCTTACTAGCCTTCTTTTTTCACATTCTTTAACAATTGACTATGAAACAATCAAGCAACTAAATAAAAAGTTTCATGTGAATTCTTCATCGTTGATATCGATTCACTGTGGATTGTGCACTAATTCTTCATGTATGTTCACTGTCTTGTCATCTTTAGACTAAGCAATAAATTGATTAATTGTTTTGTTTTTTTGCCTTACATCCTCCAATCATTTATCATATTTATTTAAACATATATTTCATTCAATGTGTCAATGTCAATTTTTAAAGATTACCATTTAAAATTGAAAAGAAAAAATCTAAGAAATTGTATTGCTCAGTTACTAGTGAAGGATACTTGTGATAAGTAATACAGACATAAATAAATAATATTAACTGCAAAGACATTGAATAACAAAATGTTTATTTTTAAAAGTTTTACACCATTTCAAATTATTCATTTTTTTTAAGGAAATAAATAATTATTTTTAATTAAATGATAAATTTGTACATAAAAAATTGATCAATAATAGAAGAAGCCTATAAATTATTTAATTATATTAGTCAAACGTTAAGTATATATATATATATATATATATATATATATATATATATATATATATATATATATGTCAATTATTGGCTGGAGAATTGGCGCAATTTCATAATCACTTGACATTTGAACCGATGAGTCACCAGTGGGAACATTGTTTGAGCTGGAAAGTTGTCTAATCTACACAAGAATGTATACCAATTTGACATATGCAATGAGTACACAACATAATCCATCATATTCTTTAAGTAAGCAGTATTTCCTCACAATTCAAAATTAGCATTTTCTCGTATATTTGTCTGAAATGCAGAAGAAAAAACCTAACCAGAGGATAAGAGAATATTACTTGTAACTAGTAAATAACACTTAAAATAAAATACTAGGCCTATTCAGTTAGATATACGGTTTTACTGATGTTTTACAATGCAGAAGACTATCTGCCTCATTACTTACATGATCGAACAAATAATATGGCCTTAATGATCGGGATAAAGGAGGAGGGTTGGGAATGGGGTTGGCGCCCCTCATCCCACCAAAAAACTAACTTGCCAAAAAAACGCTAACCAGAAGAAATAAATCAATGTAGGTGTACATACCACTAAATCAAGATCAGTTTCGACGGATAAATTTGTAAATACATTTAAATGGTCAGCACATGTGAAATTCTGATAGAAAATCATGAAATCATCGATTATAATTGTTAAGCGATAACTGATATGAAATAGTTGCATTTATACATCGAAATCAAGGATATATACATGCATATATATTATAAACACGGGATTAGTGTTTAACTTTATAAAGAGTCATTAGATGACTTGTTTGGAAAAAAACTCAGGTTACTCACATTATTCACCTTTGACTGTACAAAGTGTAAAAGTTAACAATACGAACTCTGCTCCAAACCTTGGATTCCATTTCGAATAGGTTTGTGAATATCTCGATTGCTGAGAAGTTCTAATTCTTTGTTTCTGATGACTATCTATATACAATATCAGTGGTTGGTTTATGTTATGAAAATAAGAATAAAACATGGAACTTCATGAAATTATATAGTTTCAATATATTTCATTCATTCCATAATTAAAAGTCCAGTAAAAAAAATAAAATTCAAGCTCCAATTGATTTTATATCATATTTGAATTTTTCGTTAAATAGACATGATTGACAGTAAAATAATTAATGAATCGGTGGTTTTAAAATTAAATGTAAATAATCGATTCGTTGAAGAAAGTATTTCTTAGTGGATGATTTTTTAATCAAAATTAATATTACGTTATCATTAATCATACATTAGTTGGACAGAGTTGTTTATCGGTACTCGTTCTGCTTAAAACACAAATGTAAATTAGAAACCTGTTATACTCGTCAATTTATATGCTTAAACTACTACGAGTTCAACTTAGTAGGTAAACGAGACAGAAGATAGATGATCTAGTAACACGGTAGGCTACTCTAATTCGAGCTTCCTTATGCCTCGTTACTTAGAGTGAAAAGTCTTGATATGGCGTCAAAAGTGTATTCTACAAGTACTCAGAAATCGAGGTTGACAGGCACATAAATCGAGTTTATTTATATATCATAGAAACGTCCTTGGGTGAACCACAAAAACAGCGTACTGAAATAATCCATCAACCAATAACAGCCAAGGATTTCCGGGTGGGAATTGTAATCTCAAGGTTAACTGACCAGCCAGTGTGCTAAAACATAAAATCCAAAATTAGGACTTTTATCAAGTGAGTTCAGGCGATCTTACATCCCCAACAAAACCACAAGGTTAGGCTGCAGGCGCACTAACTCTGGACTACTAAAGTTCGTGTTTTTGATAATCATGTTCTTAGTGGTAACTAACCGTGTTACGATTTTCTTCAACAAGCTAAGACCAGTAAAAGCAGACTATTTCAGGAATAAGACATAATATTACTGATTTTGTTGAATGATCACCAAAACACTGGATTGATAGACTCTGAAAATATTAGTCAATGCATGTCTAGTCATTCTACTGAAAGTGGTTTTAGCTAGAGTTCCAATGAGGGTGGATGATCAATGGAATTTATAATTTAACAGTCGATTTCTACATTGATTCGTTGTAATTCTAAAGTAATTATTCACATTGTCTCTGATAACACAAGTGAAAGGGATGTTTTTCTAATTGTCAGATTCATTAAGAATATAAGATATGTATGTTTACTCCGAATGAGTTCTTCTATAAAGTTGGCTAGGGTTTTCTGTAAGGTTTACAATATTCGATAAGTATGTCAAACTTATCGGTTATATTTCCGTTCATTTAGTGAGTGTTTGCTGCACATCAAACTGTAATTATCAGTGAGGATATCAATTCTT